TTTCAATAATTTGGTTAAATCTAGCTAAAAATTGACTGCTAATTAAAAAATCATTTGCATGAGAAGATATATATTATAAAAATTAATTCAAAAACAACCTGATTTAAATAAAATTTTGTGAACTTCTGACTTATTTACGTCAGAGAGGAAACCTGATAATTTAAGAGTATGAATAGATATAAAAAGTATCCCCAAACCATTGATTAGCAAACTGTAACCAGCAGGCCAGATCTAACTCACTGTATGCATCCTATGATTCGTGAGCTTGAAATGGTTTGTACATGTTTAAATCGCTGAAAAATCAAAAGGATAATGATGTTTTGTTACTTGTGAAAATTATGTAAAATTCAAATTTAATTATTAATAAAGTTTTATTGGAACACAATCACACTCATTTGTTTACATATTGTCTATGGCTGCTTTCACAGTACAATACAATATAGCAGAGTTATGTAATTGCCACAGAGCCATACATGGAGGCACTTTCATTGGCCTGCTCTGGATCTCAGCACACTAAAATCACAGTCACATTGTTATAATTTGATTTTCCTTCTTGACGCAAAGCCTAAAATATATGTATCTAAAAAACAGAATACGTTTTTCAACTCATGACCTGAATTGTAAACCTTAGTGTACTTTTCTTTTCAGTTCAAGGGACTCAGATTTATTCAATTTTTGATGAATAAATGTTTGACTTACCCCAGCATCTCTTTGGTTTTATATGGTTAAGATTATCCTAAAAACATATATCATTATTTGCATTTTGTAATCCACATCTTCACTTTTTCATCTCTATTCCATAAATGAAACAAAATTCATGTGAATATTTTATATTATTATTTCCAAGGATGAAAATCAGGTAATATCTCAATATTATAATAAGAAACAATGGGTACTGTTATATGACAAAATTCTAGATGTTTTTGGAGATAAGTAGGTACAATATTTAATAAGTGAGTTACATATCCATCAGATAACCACAGATTTTTCTAGCAGGCATAGGTGAATTACACAGAGAAAGTATCTAATTAAATGGGGTCTTGAAGAGTGCCTGTGAATTCAAGTTAGACAAGGCTAGGGCTGAGCAACATTAAAGTAAGTATAATAAGATTTGTAAAAACTATTAAGCTGTAAATGGAGTCTTGTGGTTGGGAAATCAAAAGAACTTAGTTATTGGAGCCTGATCTAGAGAAAAATAGCTAGAGTTGAGGCAGTATGAACCTGCTAGCCCAGACTGAGAAGACTCTTATATGACATGCAAAACTATTTTCATCTTGCAGGCAATGAGGATCCATTTCAGGTTTGCAAGTGGTACAGCAACATGATCGAATTGTTATTTTTAAATGGTTCTGAAGCTTTTTCAAATACTGTACCACACTTTCTAAAATTCTTTAATTTTATGATTATACTTTCATGGAATAAAAGTTGTTTTGAGGTATACATAAGTTTTCCTGTAAGGAGGAATATATAAACAATCCCTTAGTTACCCTAGGAACTTACATGGTAGGTGAACTTATGTGAACAGACTGTTAAATAACCTTAAATCATTAAAAATTTTCAGAATATTAAGACGTTACTTATAAAGTAAAAATATAACCTGTTCTGGCTTCTCCTGGGTAGAACTGCTTTAAGACAAAACATAATGTAGATGCTTGCACACTGCACCACTTTTATATAGGACTTACAAAAACTTTATGAAGCTTGAGATGATAGAAGCTTAGCTATAGACCGTTTGAATATATTTAGATTTTCTTTGCTTAGTATTTAAAAAAATCTTTAAATTAATGCTTAGCATTTCTTCTAATAAAATTAATACATTTGTTTGGAATGCCTGTGTAAAATTTGACTGAAAACATATCTCCTTTGAACCTTGATTTAGATATATAATGAAAATAGTTATTTAGATGATGTCTCATATTTATGTAGACCTTTATATTTAACACATTATTTTCATTGAAAGATTTTATTTCATTCTTACTTCACATGTATATGTGTATATGTATGTATATGCGCAAACATACATATATGCGTATACCTACACATATGTACATATATGTATGTTTATGTGTATACATACATATATGTGCATGTGTATATGTACATATGCATGTGTACACATGTATATGCATATACATACAGATACAGACATATACATATACACGTATATATGTATACATGCATAGGTACATATGTATATATACATATACACATGCACATATATGCATGTATACACATAAATATACATGTATATATGTGAAGTAAGAATGAAATCTTTTAATGAAAAAATATATATATGTATGTTTATGTATACATGTATGTATATGTAAAAGGGCTCTTACTCCATTTTACAGAGGTAGAGTCTGTAGTTCAGGTGAATGGTCTGAACATACTCTGATATACAGAGGAAAGAGAGTAAACTCTATGATCAGATAGATTTGAGTTTAAATCTGTTCCCTGTCAACTTTGCATGCTTGGGTAAATCACTTAATCATTAGGAAACTCAGTTTCCTCATTTGGGAAATTGTACCTATTATACAAAAATGTTATGAAATTTATGATATGTGATGTGCTTACCACAGTGGTTGCCACATTAGTTGCTAGTCAACAAATGGGTAGTTGCTGAGATTATTATTAATATTAACAATCATCATGAATAAGGCACCAACACCCATCATTTGCATTTTCAAAATCCAAAAGTTCTGCAAAATTAAACTTTGTCAAGTTTTCTGCAAACTTAATTGAGACAAAAAAACAGACGTAAATGACATGGGACTATTTATGTAATTAATAGGCATAAGATTTTTCTATGAAGTATTAATGTGCTTCCTTTCAGGACTATTATGTAATTATGGTAGATGGGATTTATTACCTTTTTATAATCTAAAAACATTCAAGTCATATCTGGCCCAAACATTTTAATATGGACTGTAGACTTGCATTTTTATGACACTTGTATTTTAATAGCCACATTATTGAGATATATTTCACAAGCATAAGACTTACCACTTTAAAGTGTACAATTCGGGAGTTTTAGCATATTCCAAATGTTGTGCAACTACCTAATTTTAGAGTGTTTTCATTAATTCAAATAGAAATTCTGTACCCATTATGTCCATTTCCACCCCTTCTACCTCCAACCCCTTAAACAACCACTAATCTATCATCTTTCTCTATTGAGCTTCACCTATCTGGTTCAATAGAGAAGGATAGAGAAGTTCTTTCATATAAAGGGAACAATAGAAGTTATGTATTAAGTGGACTTTTGTGACTGACTTCTTTCACTTAGACACATGTTTACAAGGGTCATCCATGTTGCAGCATTATCAATATTTAATTCTTTTTAATATTCCATCATATAGATATATACCAGATTTTAGATACCTATTCATCATGAGTTGTTTCTCCTTTTTGGCTATTAGAATAATGCTGCTCTGAACATTCATATGTAAGTTTTTGGGTGGAGATGTTTTCCTTTTTTTGGGGTATATACCTAAGAGCAGAATTGCTGGCCATATGATAACTTTGTGTTTGGATTTTTGAGGAGCTGCCAAAGTTTTTCAAAGTGTGGCTGTATCATTTTATTTTTTTACCTGCAATTTATAAAGTTTCCAGTTTCTCCATATCCTCATCTCCACTTGCATTTAAAAAAATAGTCATCCTACTAGGGGTAAAGTGGTATATCATTGTGGTTTTGATCTGAGTTTTCCTAATGACAATGATGTTGAGCATCTTTTCCTGTGCTTTCTGGCAATTTGTATGTTTTCTCTGGAAAATTATTCAAATATCTTGGCCATTTAAAACTTGTATTATTTGATCTTTTATGTTGAGTTGTGAGAGTTCTTTATATATTCTGGGCACTAGACATTATATATATAGTGTGCAAATATTTTCTTCTGTGGACTGCCTTTGCACTTTTTTGGTCATGTTCTTTAAAGCACAGAAGTTTTATTTTAATGGAGTGCAATTTATCTATATTTTATTTTATTGCTTGTGCTTTTGGTGTTGTATGTAAGAGAATATTTTCTAAATCAAAGTCATAAAATTTTATTCCTATATTTTCTTTTAAATGTTTTATAGTTTTAGTCTTTGCATTTAGTTCTGTGATTCATTTTGAATTATATTTTGTGTATGCTGTGAGGTAAGTGTCCAGCTTTATTATTTTGTAGCACCTTTGTTAAATGGAAAGTGATCATATACTTCCATGATCACTGCAGCAGTGGAAAGGGAGAGTGGCTCATTATGCACTGGTATTTAGTATTTCATTGGTCAAATAAAAAAGATTATTCTTTCATATTATTACTCTTGACTTGGATTGTTAGCATTATTTAATAATTACCTAAAAATTGCTATTTTTAATTATCTCATTAAAATTAGTAAAGCTTGTGTTCCAAAATAATTGGGGTTACATTTTGAGTTGGTATCATGATTAGACAGCAGTTTGAAAATATTTAAATTTGATGCTCTTATCCATATGAGAGCAATTGCAACATAAAACTAGACATAACTTCATTGCCTGGCATTTAGTAGGTTTTCAGTAAATATTTAACAAACAAATGAATAAATCATGCATTACCATGTTGCTTTTAAAATGGGCATTTAAAATAACATATATTTTGACATTTATGACTGAATAAATCTAATTTTTTAAAGTCAAACTTAAGCAAATTAAAATAACAGAAAATAATTTTATATCAGTCTCTTTACATTTATGCCTGACTTTAGAAAACAGTGGAAGCATCTGTAAATTTAAATAGATTTTTCTGTTACAGGACTTCTCAGAGCCTTTATTATGAAATTTTGCCTTGTTAAAACGGGGCATAATATGCAACATTTTCCAAATATATTTGGCATAGAAATGTATTCAGATTGAATAAACAACAGAGTTAGCAAACTAAGAAACACTTTTTGGAAATGTTTTCATTGTGATTTAGATTCATGGACAACTAGGGAACTGGAGATCATTCATTTACTATTTTTATATACTTTGTTTTGAATTGCAGTAAGAAAAATCACCAACAATATTATTTTTGGTATTTGGAATTGAATTTGCCAGGAATGCAAGCACAGCTACCTAAGTAAAGACCTTGGCTTTGGAAACATCTTATCCCTTGGCAGCTTTCCAGAGTTTAGACTTGGCAGCATCAAAGACACAACGCAAGGTGTGTTTATTTGATTTAACATTTTGCAAAAGGTGTTTTGATTTGTAGTTTGTTTTCTTTCACTTCGTACTTCGTTTTAGGTTGTTTTCTTCTGTCAATGAACCTGGTTTCCAAGCAGAGGTTTTTCTTATGGAAGGCAGTATTACAATAAGGAAATGTTTTTACTTGTATTTATTTTGTGATATTTCAGAAAATCCAAACAAGTAACATTTATAGAATTATATACATTTATAAATAACTTATTTGTTAAATGTTTAGTATTTTCAACTGCCTATTAAGATATGTTGCTACATTAAATGCTTGACATTTGTACATTCAGTACATTGTTATACTTTGAATATTGCAATATTTTGGTAATTATTTATTGGCTTTAATCACTGTTCCTGCATATGAAGTAATGAACAGATTAATATCATCATAAAACATTTATTCAACAATATTTCATAGTAAATTGATACACTCATTTTTCTCATTTATTGTGGAGAGAGGAAATATGACATAAAGTAAAATGAAGAATATGGGCCCCTGTTTATCTCTGACCTCATCTTGTCCTGTTCTTTCCCACTCCGCACTCTACTCAAAACCTTTCAATAGCTCTCCATTTGATACAACATAAAATCTAAATAAAGCTTTTGGACTGGACTGATTGTCTCCACAAGACTTGATCGTTTGTTACTTCTCTAATTTCTTCTTTAACTGTTCTCATCATTCACTTGCCCTGGGCATACTGCCTCCTTGTTTTTCTTTGTACATGCCAGGCATTTTCTCATCTCAGAATTTTTGCACTTGCTATTCTTTCTACTAAATTGCTCTTCCTCCATATGTAGGAATTGTATGACCAATTTCCTTCCTATTTTTTTTTTTTTGGTCTTTATTAAAAGTTCACCTTCTAAATGGAGTCTTATCGGATGACCATCCAACACTTTATATTCTTTCTTTGCTCTATAGTTTTTACCACTATCTATTAATCTGTATGGTTACACTTATGTGTCTTGCTTATTATCATTGTCCCTCATAAGAATCTAAGGCATATGAAGGCAGGAGTTTTGGTTTGCTCTGTTTGTACTCTATCTTTAGTGACTGGAGTGGTCCCTGGCTCTTGATGAGTGAATGTAGGAATGATCAGTGAATTCAGTAAAGGTTTTTTTAATAACTTACTGCAAGCTAGCCACTAACAGTTCCTACCTCAGGAGTATAGTTTAACAAAGGAAATGGATAATTCCAGCAGCCATTTTACTATAGTGTTGTGTTATAATAAGCGTATGAGTAGAAGGCTGTCATCACTTGGAGAAGCAGCATTTAACTCAGACTATGTTGTACTTGTGAAAGGCTTCTGGAGAAAAGTAACATTTGTATCAGTCAGAGGAGCTCAGGTTATACTCTAGAAATAAGCAAGCTCAAATTTCAATGTCTTAACAACACACAGACTAAATACCCAAAATGAGTTGGTAAGAAATTGAAGGTTTTATCTGAATATACTTCCATGATCACTGCAGCAGTGGGAAGGGAGAGTGGCTCATTATGCACTGGTATTTCGTGTTTTGCTGGTCAAAGCAAATTGCTAAATTTTGAATGTGGAACTATGAAGTGCAGTATTGCCTTCTATCCAGCAGGAAAGCAGAATTCTAATTTAATGAGTTGAATTAATGACTGCTATACCTTTGTACTGATGTAAAGAAGTATAAGATATCCAGGTAAGAGGTATTTAAAAGAATTTTCAGATGATATACCTAGGTGTAGTTTTCTTTTTTTTTTTTTTTTTTTTGACATTTATCCTTTTTGGTGGTTTCTGAGCTTCTTGGATATATGGTTTGGTGTCTGAATTTATTCTTAATCATTATTGTTTCAAATATTTCTTCTGTTCCCATCTCTTTTTCTTCATCTTCTGATATTCCCCTTATATGTATATTATACCTTTTAGAGTTGTACAACAATCTTTGGGTATTTTGTTCTCTGTGTGTGTGTGTGTGTGTGTGTGTGTTTTCTGGTTTTGGAGGTTTCTACTGATTTATCTCAAGCTCAGAGAGTCTTTCCTCAGCTAATGTTCAATCTATGAATTAGCTCATCAAAGGCACTCTTCATTTATGCTATTCCTTTTTTGATCACCAGCATTTCTTTTGGTTCTTTAAGATTTCCATCTCTTTGCTTACATTCTCCATCTGTTATTATATGATGTCTACTTTGTCCATTAGAGCCCATAGTATATTAATCATACTTGTCTTAAGTTTCCAGTTTGATAATTTCCACATCCCCAGTATGTCTGATGCTTACATATCTCTTCAGATTGTGTGTGTTTTTTTTTTTTTTTTGCCTTATAGTATGCCTTGCTGTTTTTTCTTGATAGCCAGATATGATGAACTGAGTAAAAGGAACTGCTGTAAATAGACCTCTAGTAACATGGTGTAAAGTATGGGGTGACAGGGTGCACTCGGTAGTCTTATTATTAGGTCTTAGTCATTTAGGGGACATTGGCTTTTGGACTGTGAACTTTGCAAGTGTTTCTCAGTTATTTTTCCCCCTTTACTGAAGACAGGATGGCAACAGTGGGCTGGAGTTGAGTATTTCTCTTCTTCCGCATGGAAAGCTGGAGTGGGCTAGAGTTGGGGGTTTTCCTTTCCCCAGGTCAGTTGGGCTCTGAAAGTACCCAGCAAGTTAGCCTCTGATTAGCTGGTTTCTCCTGAGGACAGACCTTGTTAAGAACAGGCTGTAGTGAATTTCAAAATTGTTCCTTTTCGGCTCCCCCTGGATTTTTCTCGGATATTTACTGTGAGAAGCTAGTCAAGCTCTTGGGGGTAAAACAGAGTGTAGGAGTCCCTTCTGTCTTGGTTCAAACAAGTGATTTAATTCAGACTTTTTCATCCTGAGCCTCCAGCAACTTGTCAATTACAGTTGAGGTTTTTCTACCACAGCACTTGTTCCTGTGACACTTTCTACTCATGGGTTTCTGTCTGGTAAGCTGTGACTCTCTGCATTTGCCTCTCTCTCCAATCTTGAGGGTCAGAATTGTGCTCTCTGTGTGTCCTCATTTTTCTTAAGAATTCAAAAAGAATGCTCAGTTTCCAGTCTGTTTAACTTTTTACTTGGAAAAGGGATGGAGTGGTGACTTCCAAGCTCCTTACATAGAGAAATAGAAACTGGAAATAGATTTTTTAGTAAAAATTTTTCAGTTGGCTCTCCATATCAAGGGGTTCTGCATCCATGAATTCAGCCACCTATTCATCAAAAATACTCAGAAAAAAACCCCATAAAAATAACCATGCAACAATAAAAAATAATAGGAAAATACAGTAAAATAATTTTTTACATAGCTTTTACATTGCATTAAATGTTACACATAATCTAAAGATGATTTAAAGAATATAAGAGAATGTGCAACATAGGTTAATGCAAATGCTACGCCATTTTATATAAAGGATTCCAGCACCTGTGGATTTTGGTTTCTACAGGAGTCCTGGAACCAATTTCCCCATGGCTATGAAGGGAGACCTGTATAACGTTATATGAAAGCTTAATATTCGAAAAGAAAATAGAAAAGTAGAATATTTATATAATTTTTCTTAAAGGTTTTTGGAAGATATGGTCAGAATGTACTATAAGGGTTTTTCTAAAATTGTATTTCTTGTTTGCCATTATGTGTTAGACCTAGGGTTATTTTAAATATTTGAGATGCTAAACTTATCATTGAAAATTAAAGGTTTGACGCCTTTATGGCAGAACCAGTTTTATCTAAAGTCAGGCTGTTGCTCTAATAGGAGGAACAGTACTGACCTGCACAATGCAAGTAGTGGATATGTAAGAGGAATTGTGACTTACAGACTTAGCAGAAAAAACATCAAAAGTGTATAACTCCTGAAGAGAATACAGAATAAAGAACTGTGGAAGTGTTTGCCTGGGAAATGTTTTCTTAAAAATTTGGATAATTTGGAACTTCCTACAATGATTAGAGATTAAGTTACCAGCTTTAAAAATGGGGACTAGTCTGTAAGCTTTTTTGTGCTCACAAGTTTTACATTTTAGAAAGTAAACATTTTTAATACTCATTATTTACATACACTAGGTGTGTAAATACATACATACTGTGAGACTACGTTCTCACAGTAAGTATCTGAGAAAAATTCCTTGCGGGCGGGGAAAAGGAACCATTTTGAAATACACCACAGCACTCTGTTCTTCTTAACAAGGTCTGTCCTCAGGAGAAACTTGTGTATATAAAAATATTTACTCTCTAAATATAACTGTTACATTTAGAATGTAACTGTTACTCTGTTAATCCATAGTTTCAAACATGTATGAAAAAGATAGCATATATAATTTGGCATTTTTAAAGTTATCCAACAATACTTTTGAAGCCACTTAGCTGATTATAGAAGATATTTAAAAGATCAAATAGGGCCAGGCACAGTGGCTCATGCCTGTAATCCCAGCACTCTGGGAGGCCGAGGTGCGTGGATCACAAGGTCAACAGATCGAGACCATCCTGGTCAACATGGTGAAACCCCGTCTCTACTAAAAATACAAAAAATTAGCTGGGCATGGTGGCACGTGCCTGTAATTCCAGCTACTCAAGAGACTGAGGCAGGAGAATTGCCTGAACCCAGGAGACGGAGGTTGCGGTGAGCCAAGATCGTGCCATTGTACTCCAGCCTGGGTAACAAGAGCAAAACTCCATCTCAAAAAAAAAAAAGATCAAATAATAGCAGAAACTGTAGATTGTATGTGTAAATAAATTGTTATACACTTAGGTATTCTGAGACCATTGTTATATCCTAAGAACATTAAATAAATCGAGCTCAAAAAAGAGTATGAGATAATGAAGTTTATGTTTTGTTTTGTTTTACTATTTGGACTGCATACTGTCTCATAGTAATCAATTAAATCAGCATGCTATAATGATGTTGACAACATTTATTTAGCACCTACTATGTGAGAAATGCTTGATATAAATTAACTGTTTAACTGTTACAACATAGCCATAGGAGATAGGTATTCTTATGAGATAT